CGGAGATGAAAGGACCTGGGTAGTGTCAACATTAAAAGGCCCTCAATCCCAACCTGGGCTCACATGTCCCCAAACCGCAAACCCAGCAACCTGAACGTGAACCCCTAACCTAGCCCTGAACATATTACTATGCTCGGCCTCAGCGGGCACAGGCTCGGCCGTCGACGGGGCAGCGGCGGGCGCAGGCTCGGCCGTCGAAGGTCCAGACGATGCTGCAGCAGGCTCGGCCGGCGGAGCTGGCGGGACCTGGGTAGTGTCAACATAGAAAGGCCCTCAATCCCAAACCCTGAGTAGAAGCCAAACCCAGTCAGAGATCTCTCCCGGCCTGCAATGGCAAGACGGTAGCGAGGTCCATGGCACTGGCCAGATCCTCGGCCGTGTCGTCCCAGTACCGCCAGTCCTTCGTTTGTCGGTCTCGGGCCAACAACTGAAAGTCAATGGTTGAGCCGAGTCTCGTCTCTCTTGTCCCAGACGAAGCTCGGACGCTCCGCCATCTCCCACTCCTCGGGCTCCGTCTCCAGGAAGGCCAACTTCTCGGCCAAGAAGTTCCTGAATGCAGGTCGCTTAACATGGAAAAAAAAAGCAAACCTTGGTTAGCTTACCAAAAGGGTGTTGGGTTCTCTGTGCCCGAAAGTTCCATAAGACCACAGAAAAACGGGTCGAAATCACTATCCGGTGAGGGGGGAATCGGCACTAAGCCCTAAACCTTTATTCTGTGTTGCAGCTCAAGGCTCGGAAGCACCTTGAGTTCTCGATTTCGGGCGTCTTTATCACCGTAGTTAGAGGCGTTGTCCAGGGTCCGCAGAAGCTTGGAGATGTGCTCGTGCACGTACGCCAATCCGTGGCTATGGCGGTGCGTGGCGAGCCCCCTCACCTGTGCGGCCATCTCGGACGACGTCTCCAACTCCACCAGGCACCAAGCAAACTCGGGCACCAAGTTAAACAACACGTCGGCGTCGTCGGGCTGGGCCTCAATTTCAACTCAATTCAGTTGTCTTTTTAATACTGACTGTAATGCGACTGCTACAGCCTTACAGCAGCAAATGTCACTTGCCAAGGAACTCTGGGGGCGGCAAACGCCTTCCTCAGAGGCTTGTCGCCCTTCTTCGGAACCGGCGCCCCCTTGTGCTCCGAGCCTTACCCCCAAAACAATCGGCCGCAACTTTTTAGCATCAATCCTGTGAATGCCTGCGACCAAGTGGCGAAGCCAGTGAAGGCTGTCTCGGACGTGACTCTGCACCAGAGAGGGGTAGTAGCCCTGCCACGGCATCGGAGTTCCTTCTGCCGCCCGCTTGAGGAAGGTCCTCAAGGCCAGGAGCCCGATCTCGGTCGCCAACGATTTTGCAGCAGGGTGCGGGTGCAACATGACGGCGAGCGTGCCCTCGGCAATTGGCAAGCTCTACGGTCACTTGACTCTCGAACTCGACAAATCACTCAATCGACTGAACGCAGAGCAGTCACGATCCACGCGAAGATGTCCACCTGGAGGTGCCACAGAACCCACGCGACGTCATAGGACTCGTTGTAGAGCCTCGTCACCACGGCCTTGTTCCGCGCGGACGCCGCAATTCTGAATGTAATGGGCGACTCGGGCATTCCTTAGTTCTTTGTCGTGCAATTTCAATCGCAGTGAAGTCCCCAACCCCTCAGCTCATCAGTTCAAGATTCCGTTTTGCGGCATGAGAGTTGGCCTTTGACGAAGACTGACTCGGACGAAGGCCCATGGAACAAAGGTGAAATCGAGGTCGTCAAAGACCGTGGCACGGGCCATGGCTCCGGAGCCTCGGGCCTTTCTCAGAAAGCCGAGGAAAAGTTCGCAAGAGTCGGGCCGGGTGTTTCGGGCCGTAAGTAGATTCTAAGTAGATGTGTTCTCGGGCGTCAATTCAGTGATCTGTCGTGTAATGTCGTATGCTGCTCCTAGACTGGAATGCGGAATGGCATGCCACTGACCTGCGCACACGCACGTCTGAGCCGGACTGCGATAGACTCTCATGCCAGCGCTGCTCATCCAATCAAGCTCCAACAACCAACGTGCAGCTTCAGTGCACTACCGACTGCCGAGCCTTCCAAGTTTTCTCGGGCATCAGTAGGATTCCCTCGCTCGGACCTCGGGCAGCGGCTGTCTAAGCTGTTGTAATAAGTTAAGATAAGCAGCAGAATCACTTGGCTCAATTGAGAATCTGAGGCCGGAGCTGCAGCAGATGAGAGGCACACGGGCACCTGGATGAGCAGCTTAATTCAACATGCTCTGCAAGATGCAAAGACAAACTCATCACTTCAACTTCCAGGTCCAGCAATCGGACCAACCTTTTTACACCAGCTCGGGCCGACCTGCTGTCCACCTCGGGCCGAACTACCTGCGAAGCCCACTGCCACTCGAGATAGCCCCGGACTTCTCGGTCGTGGCATCCTTGTCCTTTCCTGAATGACACGACCAAGTCAAGCATTTGAAAATCAAGACCGCTTGTTCAAATTCATTTATTAAATATATGATGACCTGTGCCAGGACTCGCTCGGGCGGCTGAACCACTTTGAAAGGGCAGCCCGGCACGACATCGTCCCACCACATCAAAATCCGATGGCCATCAGCAACAACCGAAGCCATCTCCTCCAGGGTCAAATCGGACATGAACCCTCACTCCAAGCACGGAATGCCTACGCCAAAGCCAGGGTCACTGCCGAGCCTGGACGGAAGCCATTACGGTCTTCATATCGGCCGAGCCCGAAGGGTATCTGACTTCCTTGGAGACCTCGGGCATGGTGCTGTACTTTTTCGGTGGAATCAAGATCTCCTTCGCACTCCACCGCTTGGCACTCCTTTGGTACCAGTTCCATGCGACGTGGTAGTCGTCGAACAATTTGTTCAGCTCCTAGGACGCTACAGCGAATGCGCATCCGGCGGATTGCGGATTTCACGCTCAATGCTGACAAGTCGCGGCCAAGTCCAGGATGAGCCTCCTGTGGAGCTCGGTCAAAACTGGCTTCTTCTCGGACGGCTTCACTCGGGCCGACTGCAAGGTGTCCATCGCCTCAGCCAGCTGTTGTGTGGCATGCTGCTTCAGAAACCAGAACGCAGTGCACAAATACACTACAAGGCCTAGCCACTGCAGCAGCAAGCTTCTGGCGCTTGGCGTGATCCCTTTGGTTCTTCCCTGGGTTCTTCTTCTTCTTCTTCGGGATCTCGGCCGCCTCCTGCTGCTCCTTCTCGGGCCCCTCGACCAGGAAACGGACAACGACAATTGCAAGCGATCCCTTTAACTTAGTTAAAACAGTCAGTCTC